GCTTTCTGCTGCCTTGGAGCAGGACGGTACCGACCGTGGCCAACGTCCGGGTCCAGGCCTGCGCCTCCCGGGACCCGTCGGGTGAAGAGACCGTCCTCTCCTTCCCCCCAGCCAACCCGGGACGGTGGTCTGGAGAGGGCGGCGGCCTGGCCAGCGCCCGGCCGGGGCGGGCGGGCAGCACCGTGCCGGTTGGAGCCGGGAGGTGACGGGCCACCCTGTCCCCGGCTGCACGGGCCCTCAGGCTCGCGGGATCGTGAGAAGAGAGGCAAGGCCGAGAAACCGCCCAGGCGAATGGCCTCAGAGTGGGGTTTCGGGGTGTGCAGGACTACCCCCTGTACCCCAAAAATCATTCAAGGCATCGTGTGCACTTCGGACCTGGACGGCGTCAGTGGTTCCTGCTGTGTGCAGGTGCGGGGGGGCCGCACGGAACCTGTCCAGAACCGGCCTTGGGCCAGCAGGCGGGACCCAGTGCCTGGTGACTCAGAGAGAGCAAAAGGCGCGCCCGGCAGGAAAGTTCAAATTTGCTCTGGCCCCTCCCCCGCGCCCGGCAGCCCCTGCCACGGCCCAGCGAGCCCGGACAGGGGGTCCGGGCTGGCTCCAGGGCGGCACGGGAGAAGCAGGAGTGAGGATGCCTCCCTCCCCCTCACACCCAGGCCCGCCTTCTCCAGCAGCCGTGACAGGTCCTGTTCCCCATCCCTACGGGCCCTCAGGCCTCAGAGCCATGTCCTGCTCATTCTCGGTCAAGCGGACACACGGCGGCCTCCTGGACTTTGCTTCCCCCAGGCACCAGCAGGCAGGCGGGCCGCCTGGCGCTGGGCAGCCCTGGGACCCCCATGAGCCCCATCGCGCGGGGCTGAGCCGCTGTGGTTCCTGGTCCCCTCCGGGCGTGAGGCCAGTCCAAGACAGGCCTGTGTCGGCAGGGCGTGGCGGGAGGCTCCCGTCTGAATGAGGGGCAGCGGGCTCCTCGAGGCCCCTCCCCTGGGCCTCGGGTCTTGGGTGTGGCCGAGGCGGTGGGTGGCTGGCGTCCCAGGACATCCGGGACCAGGCCGGTCAAGGATGGTGTAGCTGACCACGGCTCATGTCACTTTTCGGGCAGGTGGGGCCCGGAATTTCCCAATTTCACAGAGCAGGACCCTGAGGCTCAGAGAGGGTGACAAGGCTGCGGCCCAGGGGACACAGCGGGGGTTAGCGGGGAACCACAGCCCCAGATGGGCCCCCAGGGGAAACCCAGCCCCACCCGGCCCCCAGGACAGGTCCCCAGCTTCCCCATGGGCCAGGGCCTCCTGCGGATGGGGCGCTTGAGTGGCCCGCGGGCCTGAGAGTCATGGGGGGTGTTGGGGGGCCTCGGCACCCAGTGGCACCAGCAGACGGGCGGCTGAGCCCACAGCCTGGGGGGTCACCCCACTGCTGCCAGGAACCAGTGGCCAGCAGGCTGGGGGGTCGGGGGCTGGGCTTAGGCCGGTGGATCCGGCACCGGGCGGCCACTTCCTTCCCTCCGTGGGCCGAGGACGCGTTGGAGGGTCTGTGGGGTTCCCTGCCGGGCCCAGGTCGGAAGTTCCACTCTGCAGGTTCAGCCCCTTTCCGGCCCCAAGCCGTCCCGGCCTGTTAATCTCCGGAGTCAGGGTCCGGCACGGTCACCGGGGCGGCACGCCGAGCCTGACCTTGCTTCTGTCCCAAGTGGGGAGGCAGGCGTCCTCCGCCCTGTTCCCCTTATCCCACTGCATTCCTCCCGTCTCTGTGGCAACGGCCTGGGGTACACCCGTCAGGGCCAAACCCCGCCTCTCTCTGATGCCTTAGACTGACTCCCGCAAAGCATTGGCGGTCAGATCTGAGCAGGTTCACGGCGACAGAGCTGGCCCAGAGCTGGGGGACCCTACTCCCACCCACTGGGCATCTGGTCCCCACCGTGAGCCTGTTCCGAGATTTTTTCAGACCCAAATTTTTTTCCCCCAGATTGGGGAGGAACTGAGTCCAAGGAGCGTCCCAGCCACGTTTGCTGTCCCTGAGCTGCCTCCTGGCCTAAGCACCTGGAGCGTCAGGGTGGGGGGTGGGGGTGGGTCCTGCCCTGCCTGGGGGCTGGCAGGGGCTGCTTTAACGGGGGCACCTGCTTTCCGAGCTGGCAGCGCCCGTGCTGCACGCCCCCCGGCCTGGAGTCGGCCCGGCTCACCCTTGGCCATGTCCACGAGTGGACTGCGTGCAGGCAGACCAAGGCATGCGGTTCAGGGGCGAGACGTGACCCTGACTCTTTTGAGGACAAGTCACGCCTCCGGGTCCTGACTGCTGCGCGCAGGGCTGGACTCCAGTCCAGCCTGGGATGGTCACCTGGGGGCAGGGAGGGGTCGGGGCAGGCGTGCCAGGTGCTTCAGGTGGGGCCAGGTGCTGAGGGTGGGCCGTGGGCTGGACCTGCCACCCGGTGTGGGAGGAGGTCCTGTCATAACGCGGAGTGCCGCTGGCCATGCCCTGGGGGCCTACACCGCTGGGCAGGACCCTGCTGGCGGCCACAGTGGACACACGGCTCAGGGGGTCTGGGGGCAGCAGGACCTCACTGGCTCCCGACACACAGGAGCCCCCGGCAGGGATCAGGAAATGAAGCCGCTTTCTGGAAAGTTTCTGCGGTCCAAGGGAACCCACTGCCTAGAGTCAAGTACCAGGCCTGGGGTTGACGACTCATGTGACCAGCGTGTCAGCTGGGATGGCCACATACCAGCAGGATTGGAGGAGCCCAGCTGGGGCCAGCGGTCACTGGACGTGGGCAGGTCACGGCGTGGGCCTGTACCCGGCAGTGGCCGCTGGGTGTGCTGGTCTGCGTGGGCGGAGTGCAGGGAAGGCCAGGCACGGCAGGGGCTGCAGTCTGCGGCCGATGGCGCTGCCTGGGCTCAGGGCCCGCCTCAGGACACCAGGTGTCCTCCCTCTGAGGGAGGCCGGTGACTCAGCACGCGGCCAGGCCGAGGTGTGGACACTGGGGCTGAAGCTGCCACCCCTTGCCTTTCCCAGGGCGGTTGGAGGCAGGCTGAGGGGCCACTCACTCGGCCCGGCCTGGGGTCCTGGTCCCACCTGCAGACCCTCTGCACCTCCACGCCCACCGTTGCTGGCCACGAAGGGCCACGCGGCCCTCCGTAGCCAGCGACCTGCTGGGCCTGCCCTACCGGGTCCACTGTCCCCGTGCCGACCGGAGCCCTCTGCCCTCCTCGGCACCCAGCACCTGGTGTCCACCCCGGGGCCAGGCGGGAGCCCTGGCTGTGCCGGCCGGGTCACACCTCTGGGACACCAGCTGCCGGCCACTTATCCACAGGACAGCGCTCCCGCTCCCAGGGGCCACTCACTCACCACTCTCACTCCTCCACTCACACCACTCACGTCACCCACTCACTCACTCACTCACCCACTCACCTCCACCCACTCACTCACCACTCACTCACCCACTCACTCATTCCATCACTCACCCACTCAACTCAGCTACCGACTCACTCACTCACCACTCACTCATGCCACTCACTGCACCCATCACTATCCACTCACTCACACCACTCACTCACTCACCCACTCACTCAACACGGTAAGTCACCCACCCACTCACTCACCACCCACTCACCCACCCACTCACTCACCCACTCACTTCACCTCCACTCACTCACCCACTCACTACTCACTCATCATCACTCACTCACCTACTCACTCACCCCTCACTTCACCCCTCACTCACCCACTCACTCATCACCCACTCACTCACCCACTCACTCACCATCACTTCAAAAACCAACTTTCATCTCCAAAACCTTAACTCCTACTCATCCATCTCACTCACCCACTCACTCATCTACTCACCACTCATCACATCTCATCCACTCACTACCCACCACTCACCCACTCACTCACTCACTCACTCATCCACTCACGTCACGCCACTCACTCATCCACTCACTCACTCATCCACTTCACTCATCCACTCACTCACTCACCCACTCACTCATCCACTCACTCACTCATCCACTCACTCACTCACCCACTCACTCATCCACTCACTCACTCACCCACTCACTCACCCACTCATCCACTCACTCATCCACTCACTCACTTCCTCTTCCCTCACTGCTCCTGCGGCCCCTGCACTCCTGCCTCTGTCCAGCGCCTTCTCTCCCAGGCCCTGGGGCTAAGAGGGGAGCCCAGCAGGGGGACTGGGTGTGAGAAGGAGCTGGGGACAGGAGAGCAAACGCTCAGAACAGCTTCCAGGTGCCTCCCCAACCCCAGCCCTCCCCGAGGGGCAGGGGCCCAGCCCACTTCCACCTTTTCCACCATTCCTCTCAGTGGGGCCCTCCTTGAGGGCAGCAGAGCTGCTGACCTTGGCTGGGCTGTGTGGCCGCCGGGGAGGGAGAGTCCAGCCCCAGTGTCCTGGGGCCCAGACAGGGCTGGACGCCACACCCAGGGTCTGGGGCAAGTGTTTGTCATGTGGCGGCCCCTTCTCCACTGGAGCCGTCGGGGAAGAGGCTTGGTCATCAGGACGTCTCTGGGCTGGGACCGGCCAGCAGATTCCCAGCCTGGACACCAGGCACCCTCAGCCCCAGCAGCCAGAGGTTGCATGTGGATCAAGTTGGCCCCAGCCCACCTGTCTAGGACCAGCAGCCGGGGGCTGCTGTGGGGAGGATCCTGCCACTGGCTGCCTCTGAGCCGCCCCCCTCTAGGGTAAGGTGGGCCAGCCTGGTGGGGCCTGGCATCCTTGGGGCAGGCTGCCGCTGAGCAGTAGCGCCTGGGGCAAGTCTGGGCTGGGGGCCCTGGCGGTGGGGGCTACCTGCCAGCCAGGTGAGGCCCTGCGGAAACCAGGCCCTGCCTGCAGACACGCCCCTCTCTGCCTCCCGGGCTGTTGGGAGGTGAGTGCCCCGGGTGAGGGGAACCACAGCCCAGCCCCGCCCACACACGTGGGGCCCAGGGCTGGGGCCGGCACTGGGCTACAAAAGGCCCCTGACGCCCGGGTCCCTCCTAGAGGCCGCCGGACACCTCCCGAGACCCACATGGGTGTTGCCAGGAGGAAGCTGGCCCCACTCTGGGGCCTGGCGCTCGCCCTGGCCTGCACCTGGCACACAGGTAGGACTCGAGCCCCGGCCGCTCGCCCCCGGCTGGGTGGGCATCAGCAGCTCGGCCTCTGCCCTGGGCGCTGGGCAGGGTCTGCCTGTCTGCAGGCAGCTCCCAGGCTTTGAGCCCAGCCTGTGGCTCGGTCCCCACAAGCAGTTTCCAGCCCACGGGGCTGGGGGACCCTCAGGCGGCAGGGCCCTGAGGAGTGAGGCAGGAGCCCCCATTTTGGCCTGGCCAGAGGGGCTCTCAGCCCCTGGGCACCTGCCCTGGGACACCCCTGCACACACACACCCAGCTCTGCAGCCCACGCCCCCTGCCTGGGTCTCGGTGGGGGTCTCCAGGGTCTCTGCCTTGAATGGGAGGCGGGTGGTGTGGCCTCTGCTCCCAGCAGGCAGCTGGTCCCAAACCCAGGAGGGGATGCAGGGGTGGAGTGAAGCCCTGGGCTCCCGGCCGGCCCGGCTCAGCCTCCGGCCTCTGCTGAGCAGATTCAGGGCCAGGAAGACCACGTCCTTGTCTGCTTGGTGGGCTCTGAGCCGTGGTCCAACCGGAGCTGCAGGCGGGGTGCTGCCCGCGCCCCCTCTCCTTCAGAACCACTCCCCTCTCTGGCTGGAATTCTCCCCCAGGGGCTGCACCGAGCAGGGGCAGGTGGGGCAGGGGCGAATGAGGCGGGGCAGCCCATGGAGACCCTCAGGAACCTGGGGCTTGCAGGAGAGGGAGGTATTTGGTCCTGCTGGGGGCAGGAGTGTGGGGGACGGGGGGCCCAGCCTGGCCCGAGGACCCCAGAGAAAGGCAGAAGCACCGAGATGCTCAGGCTCCAGGTGGAGGCCCAAGACCCCTCTCAGGGTCCCCTGGGGGTGGCGGGCGCCCTGCGCGGGGCTGCGTGGAGCCGGCATCTGCAGACTCTTGTGGGGACCCTAGACACCTGCCTCCCAGCCCTGCCCTCCGCTCAGCCTTGGTCTGACACCACTGGTCCCTCCGCCGCCCCCCACAGCTGGCCCGCACGTCCCCACCCACAGGGGGTTCCCCCCAGAGCCCTGGCCACCTGGTGACAAGCTGTGACCCACCGTGGCTTTTACTAACCGATCCCTTGGGGACACGGGGTGTGAATGAACCAGTGGGAAGGAGGGAACGTCACTGGGAGGGCCCGGGCCATGACCTCAGACACCGGCCTGCGTGGACAGGGGTCCCCCAGCGTCCCGGCCACCCCCTCTCGCCCTGGGCCCTCTGTCCCTCCCCTGGGCCTGCGCTGTCTGGGCACCTGAGACTCAGGCTGGCTCCTCGTCCTGCAGGCCATGCCCAGGACAGCTCTTCCCAGCACAGCCATGAGCACCACGCTGACCTCACTCCCGCGCTCTGGGGACCTGGTGGTGAGTCTCGGTGTCCAGTCCCTGCCCTGCCCGGCGTGGCACGGGGTCCCCAGGGCGCTGGTCTTGGGGCGGCCCCCCAGCCGGCCACCACTGAGCAGTCAGAGCTCGGAGGGGTGGGAGGACGCTCCACACTCGGTGCCCGGTTGGTCCCAGCGCCTGCGCTCTGCGGCCCCGCTGGCTCCAGCGCCCACAGCCCAGGAGGCTCAGGCCGGCCCTGAGGGAGCTGCAGGGAGGGGAGACGGGCTGGCCGCACCCCAAGTCCCCACCAGCCCAGCGAGCGCACACGGGTGCCGTGGTGCTGGCTGCTGCCTTCCTCTCTCGCTGTTTGACTCTGCATGTCTCGGCGACACGCATGTTCCGGGACCGGCGCCCGGCAGCGTCGGGCGGGCTGGGCGCGGGGCCAAGGGTCGAACCCGTATTCCCCAAACTGGGCCAAGCAGGGAGCGCCCCGAGCCTCATCTCAGCTCCCAGGAGCCTGTCTTGGGCCGCTGATGTTGACTCAGGCGTTTATTTTCCTTCCGGAGACGGAGTCTCTCTGTCACCCATGCTGGTGCTCAGTGGCACACTCACTGCTCACTGCAGCCTGGAACTCCCGGACGGGAGAGATCCTGCCTCGGCCTCCCCTAGCCGGGACTATGACTCCCGGCTAATTTTTGTATTTTTTTTTTTTTTTAGAAATGGGGTCTTGCTGTGTTGATCACGCAGGTCTCAGGCGATCCTCCCACCTTGGCTGGGACTATGACTCCCGGCTAATTTTTGTATTTTTTTTTTTTAGAAATGGGGTCTTGCTGTGTTGGTCAGGCAGGTCTCAGGCGATCCTCCCGCCTCGGCCTCCCACAGTGCCGAGATCGTGGGCGTGAGCCACCGCGCCCGCCTGACTCCCCTGTTTTGACTCTGGGCCCCGTGGGGCGGGTGTGTGTGTGAGCTGCAGCCCCCGGGGCTCTGTCCAGGCAGCAATTAGGGTCGTAGAGGCCGGGTGGCCCCCACGGAAGCCGCACATGACGGTCAGACAGGGAGCCCCGGGCACGTGGCCTGGGCCGACTCGGATGTCCCCCCACCCCACGAAGCCAGGCGTGGACCCAGCAGCCCTGTTTCCGCAGGTGACCCGCCCCTCGGGGCGACGACCTCCCTGCCCCCGAGGGCCGTCCCTGTGGTCCGAGGTGAGTGAACCGGCGCCAGAGGGAGGGTGTGGCTTGCTGAGGCCCCTCCCGCCGTCCCACGGAGCCGGTGCCCGGAAAGGGGGTCGGGCTTCCCCGGGAGGTGGAGGGGCACGGCGGGGGCTTGAGGAAGGGTCCGCAGGCTTCCTAAGCGCAGGCAGGACGCCAAGACACCCGGCCCGGGACGGTGGGCGGGACGTGTGGGGCGCGGGGCGGGCGGGACGTGTGGGGCGCGGGGCCAGCGGCGTTGCCTGAGCCTGGCGCCCCCTCCCCGCAGCCCGGAACCCGGCGCACAACAGCCGGGTCTGCAGCGCCTGGGGCGACTTCCACTACAAGACCTTCGACGGCGCCGTCTTCCGCTTCCCCGGCCTCTGCAACTACGTGTTCTCCGCGCACTGCGGCGCCGCCTACGAGGACTTCAACGTCCAGCTGCGCCGCGGCGGCCGGGAGCCCAACGCCCACCCGACTGGGGCAGGTCACCATGAAGCTGAGACGGGCCTGGTGGTCCGAGCTACCCAAGGCTCCGTCCCTGGGTCCGACGGCTCGCACCCGTGAGTCGGGGCTGCGCCAGCTGGCGCGGTGGGGGCACGGGCGGGCTGCGTTCGGTGGCAGCGGCGGTGGGCCGTTGGGGGCCCAAGAGAGGGTGGGGGGCTCCCCTCAGCCCTGGCTCTCGTTCATGCCCTGCCTGCCTGCCATCTGTGGACATGGCTCTGGGGGCCTCCGCGCGGGGTCCTGGCGCGTGTCACAGTTCAGACTTGTTTCTGGATGGCACCCTCCCCGCTGGGGCCCCTGTCCTGGCTGGCCCTGAGCAGCTCCGCCGCGCCTCCTCCTGTAGGGTCCAGCTGCCCTTCAGCCACTCCGGGGTCCTTGTCCAGCGCGGTGGCAGCCACGTGAGGGTGGTGGCCAGGCTGGGCCTGGACTTCACGTGGAACCAGGACGACAGGCCTTCTGGTGAGGGGGGGATGGAGTTGGGGGAACAGAGGGTGGGGACAGGGGATGGGGTTGGTGTGGACAGGGGCACAGAGGGTGGTGGAATGGGGGTGGGGTTGGTGTGGAACAGGGGACAGAGTGAGGGACACGGGATGGGTTGGGGGTATGGAGGACAGAGGGTGGGGACCAGGGACAGAGGGTGGGGACAGGGGATGGGCCGGGGGTACAGGGGGACATAGGGTGGGATGGGGGCGGAGCCTCCTAGTGAGGCTGGGGGCCGAGCCCTTCGTCCAGCCCTCTGGCGGCTGCAGAGGCAGCAGGTGCTCTGCAGAGGGGGGAGGGGGAGCCGGGCCCCACCCACACAGCAGGCACCAGCAGGAGCCCTGGGGTCTTGCCCCCCATGGAGGCCCGGTGGCATCGCCTGCAGGAGGGGCCTGCCCTGCTCAGGCTCACTCTCAGCTCAGTCTGGGAGGGGCCCAGGGCCTGCGCGCGCACCCCCACCCGTGAGCTGGGCGTCCCGCACATCTGGGCACCCCTGGCGGGGTCGGCGTCTGAGCCCCCTCCCGTTCCAGCTGGAGCTGGATACCAAGTACGCCAACCAGACCTGCGGGCTGTGTGGGGACTTCAACGGCAGGCCGGCAGTCGGCGAGTTCCTGTCCCACAGTAAGGACCTTGGCGCCAGCACCGGCTGTCTGCACTGCTCCCGCAAGGGCTCAGGTCCCAGAGTCCCAGGCTGTGCGCACACGCGGTCTCATTCTGTGCACACGCGTGCATATACACAGACACACATGCACACGCACAGACACACACGCACACACATGCACACAGACACATGCACACACACAGACACACATGCACACAGACGCAACACGTATGCACACATGTGCATAGACACACATGCACACACATGCAATCCCGGCACAGCACAGGCCCCAGGGGTGCGGGAGGAGCAAACCACCTGAGCAAACCCCTTGCTCTCAGCGAGGCTGCTCTGGGCAGGGGCCCCTGGCCGCACACCCTCGCCTGGAGCTACAGACCTGCCACCTTCTTGGTCCTGGAGTCCGTCTGCCACCAAGCAGTGGCCTTGCAAACGTGACCTGCCCCAGCCGGCGTCTGTCCCTGGCCCGGCTCCCCTGTGCCCCCTCGCAGGGCAGCGTCTCCGAGGGCGGGTGGGGGGGGAGGAGTACTGGGGCTCACTCTCTGGGCCCCGAGCTGCGTCCCAGCCCAGCAGCCAGGTGGCTCCGGGTCCCAGGTCAGTTGACCCCTCAGGCCACCTCCCCTCGGCCCTCCCCTCGGCCACCTCCCCTGCGCGGGCCCCTCGTGTCCCCCGGCGGCGGGGACGGGGACTCGTGGGCAGAGCCGGCTCCATGCTTTTCCGCAGACGCCAAGCTGACCCCCCTGGAGTTCGGGAACCTGCAGAAGCTGGACGGCCCCACGGAGCAGTGCCCGGACCCCGCGCCTGCGCCTGCGCCCGCGGAGAACTGCTCCGCGGACTTCGGCTTCGTAAGGCTTGGGGCGGACGGGCCGCGAGGGGGGGAGGGGCTGAGACCCGGGGACGCCGCGGACGTCGGACTCAGCCGGCCCGGCCTCTGCCCCAGGACATCTGCCAGGAGCTGCTGGGCGGCCGGCTGCTCGCGGGCTGCGCGGCCCTGGTGGACGCCGGCAGCTACGTGGACGCCTGCCGCCAGGACCTCTGCCTCTGCGCTCGCGCCGACCCGCTCAGCTGCGCGTGCGACACGCTGGCCGAGTTCTCGCGGCAGTGCGCGCACGCCGGGGGGCTGCCCCAGGACTGGCGGGGCCCCGACCTCTGCCGTGAGTGCCCGCCCCAGCCCCTGCCCGCCCCGTGCTGCCCGCCCCGTCCTGCCGAGGCCGGGGGTGACGCGGCCCCGTCTTCCTGCCGCCCCCGCAGCCCAGACGTGCCCGGACAACATGCAGTACCACGAGTGCCGCTCGCCCTGCGCTGACACCTGTTCCAACCTGGAGCACTCCCGCACCTGCGAGGAGCACTGCGCCGCCGGCTGCTTCTGCCCCGAGGGTGAGGCGCGTCCCCGGCCCGGCAGGGAAACTCACGGGTGCCCCCGTGGCTGCCCTGCCACGGCCCAGCCCCTCCACACGCCACGGCGTGGACACGGCGCCGGCACCTGTCACGCGTCTGCTCCCCGCAGGGACGGTCCTGGACGACATCGGGCAGGGCGGCTGCATCCCCGCGTCCCAGTGCGCGTGCACCTATAACGGGGCCGCCTTCGCTCCGGGCGCCGTCTACACCACGGACTGCACCAACTGGTAGGTCGGGGCCTCCCTCCCGGCCCCCGGGTCACACCTGGGCCAGTGCCCGGCGTCCCCACTCACGGGGGCCTCTGGCTGCTCGCAGCACCTGCTCTGGAGGCCGCTGGAGCTGCAGGGAGATTCCGTGTCCCGGCACCTGCTCTGTGCTGGGCGGCGCCCACGTCTCCACGTTTGACGAGAGGCAGTTCACGGTGCACGGGGACTGCAGCTACGTGCTGGTCAAGGTACGGCCGGGGCTGCCAGGGGGTGAGATGCCCCACTGGGAACGGAGTCGGCCGGGGGTCTGCCTGCCCTGCGGCTGCCCTACCATGGGGGACCCTGTGGGTCCGCGGGGCTGAGACCACGAGGAAACGCCCCGGCTGCCCAGTGTGGGTCCCCGAGGGTCCCTGAGGCTGCTGGTTGGAGCCCCTGGCACTGGGGGACCCACGGCCGGCGCGCACCTGACCACGCTGCAGCCGGGATTTCGGTGAACGGCTGTTAGAGCAATTCCAAGCTCACAAACTGGGGAGGAAGCAAGAGAATCCCACGGCCGTCCGTGCCCAGCACAGGGGTTCCCTGCTGTTATCGACCCACCCGTGCACGGGGCATTGTCACTGGCGGTGAGCCTGCACCATGCCACCCGGAGCCTATGGCTGACACCTGGGCTCGCTCTGCGTGTTGCGTGTCCCGTGGGTTTGCACGGACGCACAGTGTCTGGTCACACAGAACCGAGCCCCTCCCCACATGGTCACTGGGTTGGCACCACGCAGGGCCACCTTCTCAGATGTGTCACTCAGTGTGTGCCTGGGTGTCCCCACAGGGGTCCTGAGAGACCTCCCTCTGGGGGTTACGAGGACAAAGCCCCCAGGTGGTGGCGGGATGGGGGAGCCAGGGACCGGGAGGGACAGCGGGTGGGCGGGCGGAGCGTGAGGACCCTGTCGTCCCGCAGCCCTGCGACGGCGGCTCCTTCGCGGTGCTGGCCGAGCTGCGCAGGTGCGGGCTGACCGACAGCGAGACCTGCCTGAGGAGCGTGACGCTGAGCCTGGGCGGGGCGCACACGGTGGGTGTGGCCGGCGGGGCGGGAGGCGGGGCGGGGGAAGCCCGGGGTGGGAGGAGCCAGGGGGCGGGGGTGTCCCTCAGGGCCAGCCGCCTCTGGGTGTGCAGTGGAGGCCTGGCCCCCCGCTAGCCCTGTCCTCCCCACCCCAGGTGGTCGTGGTGATGGCCAGCGGGGAGGTGTTCGTGAACCAGATCTACACGCAGCTGCCGGTCTCTGCAGGTGAGGCCCCTCCCCCCCTGCTGCCCGGCCCCGCCCCCGCCCCCCAGCACCGCCCCCGCCGCCCCGCAAAACCGTCACCTGTCTGTCCACAGCCAACGTCACCGTCTTCAGACCCTCCACCTTCTTCATCATCGTGCAGACCGGCCTGGGGCTGCAGCTGGAGGTGCAGCTGGTGCCCACCATGCAGGTGTTCGTGCGGCTGGCGCCCACGCTCCGCGGACTGACCTGCGGTAAGAGCTGCCGCCTCCTGGGGCCCCTGAGCCACCGGCGCCCAGCCAGACGTGGGGCCTCACCGCTTCCCGCCCCCAGGCCTCTGCGGGAACTTCAACCAGAACCAGGCGGACGACTTCACGGCCCTCAGCGGCGTGGTGGAGGGGACCGCCGCCGCCTTCGCCAACACCTGGAAGACCCAGGCCGCCTGCCCCAACGTCAGGAACAGCTTCGAGGACCCCTGCTCCCTGAGCGTGGAGAACGGTGCGTGTGCCGTGCGGGGGCGGGGGGGACACCGGGGGACACCCCCCTGCTCTCCACGGAGCATCGTGAACTTGGGCCCAGCTCAAGGGTGAAAGGAAAGGCATGAGGCTGTTTAACTCACCTTTGACCCTGCGCTGTGGCCCCAGCCGGGCACTGGTGTGGGGTGGACTCCGACTAGGCTGGACCCGGCCTCCTCCCCTCCTGCCGGTGGCCCAGGACGCAGGGGTCTGTGCGCCCTCACGGTGCTGGAAGGGCCTTGCTTTTCCGCCCAAGGCTACAGCCACTAGCGCCCCTGGCAGGCGGCTGCGGTGGGGGCTGAGTGGGGTGGGGGCTGAGTGGGGGGCCACGCCCCCGTGGCAGGGTTTGCCCGACATCCGCCTGCCTGGTGGAGCCGACGCCCAGTCCCCAGGCCGGCGCGGAGCCTGTTGAGGAGCCCGCTGACGGCCGTTCCTCCTCCGCAGAGAAGTACGCTCAGCACTGGTGCTCGCGGCTGACGGACCCCCAAGGCCCCTTCGCCGGGTGCCATGCCGCCGTGAGCCCTGGCGCCTACTACTCGGTAAGGCCCGCCCGCTCCTTGGTGGAGCTGCGGACGCTGCCCTGAGGGGGGATGGGGACGGCGCTGGGGCTGGGACGGAGCCCGAACCTGTCTCCGCTGCCCGCGCACCCGCCCTCCGCACGCTCGCCAAGCCCTGCGCCAGGCCCAGGGCTGCGCCCCGTGGTGGGCAGTTGGCCAGGCCCGGAGCTGAGCTGTTCTGAGGGCAAGGCCGGGCCACGGATCAGGGCCACTGGCCGCAGTGCGGGGCGCCCACTGCGCGGGGCGCCCACTGCGCGGGACTACGCCCTGACGCCCGCGCCCCGCCCCCAGAACTGCATGTTCGACACGTGCAACTGCGAGAGGAGCGAGGACTGCCTGTGCGCCGCCCTGTCCTCCTACGTGCGCGCCTGCGCCGCCAAGGGCGTGCTGCTCCGCGGCTGGAGGGACGGCGTCTGCGGTGAGTGGCCTGCGCCGGGCTCAGGGGCTGTGGGGCCCAGGGGAGGGGGAGGGAGGAGGCCTGGACGGCCAGCGGGTAGCCCGCAGCGCCCTGAGTGCGCCGTCCTGCCGCCGCAGCCAAGCCCACGACCACCTGCCCCGAGTCCATGGTCTACCGCGACGACATCAGCACCTGCCAGCCCACCTGCCGCGCCCTGAGCGAGGGGGACGTCACCTGCCACGTCCCCTTCGTGCCCGTGGACGGCTGTACCTGCCCCGAGGGCACCTTCCTGGATGACGCGGGCAAGTGTGTGGGGGCCACCAGCTGTCCCTGCTACCACGGGGGCTTCGTGGTCCTCAGCGGGGAGTCGGTGCACGACGGTGGGGCCCTCTGGTAAGTGCCTGGCTGGGTGGGGGCGGGGCGTGGGGGTCCCCAGAGGTGCGGCCGCAGCGCCCGCCCTGACCGCCCTGTCCTCGCAGCACCTGCACGCAGGGGGCGCTGAGCTGCATCGGGGGCCCCGCCCCCACGCCAGGTGAGTCGGGGGACGCTGCCTCAGCCTCGGTGTCCTTGAGAAGCCTGACAAATGGCTTCAGGGTTACCCCACCCCAGTGCACGGGGCGGGGGTGCCGGTCGGTTTCTGTGTGTCAGGTGTGCGGACCGAGGGGGTGGGGGCGCCCCCCACGCACACGGCACAGACATGCCCTCTCTGCACGTGTGGTCCAGCACTGGGGCAGCCCGCGCTCCTTGGAGCCAGCTTGGCGGGGGTGGCGGGTCCTCTGACGGCCCCCTCCCCGCAGCGTGCGCCGAGCCCATGGTCTACGTCGACTGCCGCAACGCTACGCCTGGGGCCGCCGGGGCCGGCTGCCAGAAGAGCTGCCACACGCTGGACATGGCCTGCGTAAGCCCCACCACCCCCTAACACCCCGGACAGCCCCGGAGTCCCCAATGACCCCCAGCTAAAGGCCCCTGTGGAGATACTCAGCCCCGCGGTACTCCCGGGGTGGGGCAGGTCCAGAAGGCGCAGGTCCCTCCAGAGCGGTGGGCGGAGCTGTCCCTGGGATGGCCCCGCCCATCACCGTGAGCATCTGCCGCCCACAGTACAGCCCCCAGTGCGTGCCCGGCTGCGTGTGCCCAGACGGGCTGGTGGCAGACGGCGAGGGCGGCTGCGTCGCGGAGGAAGACTGCCCCTGCGTGCACAACGAGGCCAGCTACCGCGCCGGCCAGACCATCCGCGTGGGCTGCAACACCTGGTAGGCTCGGCCGCGCGCCATGGGGGTGTCTGGGCCGCGCGCCCCGGAGGCCCGTCCTGGGCGGACACTCAGCACGGACTCGGGCTGGGCGCCCACAGCCCCGGCCAGGGAGACCTGGCGGCCTCCGTGGTGCCAGGTCCTCCTGGGGGGCCTGGCGGCCACACCCCACCAGAGGGGAACCCCTGGGAAACCCGCGCACTCCCCACCCTCGTCCCACGGAGGCTCCGGCCTGACCCCCGCTGCCCCCCCAGCACCTGCGACCGGCGGCGGTGGCAGTGCACGGACGAGCCCTGCCTGGCCACCTGCACCGTGTACGGGGACGGCCACTACCTCACGTTCGACGGGCAGCGCTACAGCTTCAACGGCGACTGCGAGTACACGCTGGTGCAGGTGCGCCTGCGCCTCCCCGCCTCCCGCCGTCCTCACGGTGGCCCGCGCGGCCCCCACAGGCAACTCCCTGGGGTGCACGCAGGTTGGCCCCGCCTGTCCGGGAGGGTGGGCGAGGGCCTGGCTTCTGACGGCCTCTGCCCCCCAGGACCACTGCGGCGGGAGTGGCGGCGCCCAGGAGGCCTTCCGCGTGGTCACCGAGAACGTCCCTTGCGGCACGACGGGCACCACCTGCTCCAAGGCCATCAAGCTCTTCCTGGGGGTGAGTGTGCCAGGGGAGGGGCGCCCAGAGCAGGGCCGGGGCCCTGCCCAGCCCTGAGCCTGAGCCGCCCCTTGCCTCGCAGAGCTACGAGCTGAAGCTGAGCGCCGGGAAGGTGGAGGTGATCGGGGAGGGCGCCGGGCCGGAGGCGCCGTACTCCATCCGCCAGATGGGCGTCTTCCTGGTGGTGGACACCAACGTGGGGCTCGTGCTGCTCTGGGACGGGAAGACCAGCATCTCCGTGCAGCTCAGCCCCGAGTTCAAGGTGAGGCGACGGGCCGTGGGCAGGGAGACAGAGACAGAGATACAGAGACAGAGAGACAGAGACAGAGAAACAGAGATAGACAGAGACAGAGAAACAGAGACAAAGAAACAGAGACAAAGACAGAGAGACAGGGAAACAGAGATAGACAAATACAGAGACAAAGAGATAGAGACAGAGACAATGATAGAGAAACAGTGACAGGGAGACAGAGACAATGACAGAGATAGACAGTGACAGAGAGACAATGACAGAGATAGACACAGACAGAGACACAGAGACAGAGACAGAATTCTCTCTGAAGGCTCTGGGGGGCCCTCGCTCGCCTCTCCCACTCCCGGGGCTCCAGGCGTCACCCCAGTCCCTGCCCCCCGTGTGCCTGTGTCCACACCTCCCCCCGTTTACCAGGCACCAGCCATATTTAGCCACCGCACTGAGCACGGCCTTGTCCCGCCTTGGTTCCGCTGCACAGACCCTGTTCCCACCAGGCCCCCGCAGGCCCCGGGTCAGGCCCGAGCCACCTTCGGGCCCCATTATGCCCACAGCGCGGGGCGGCTCCCTTTTCTCCAGGACAGGCTGTGGGGGGGCCTGCAGCGAGACGGGACTCGCTCCCAGGCCTCCCGGAGGGCAGAGCGAGGACGCCGCGTGGCGGGAGCCCGGGCGTGGCGCGGCGGGGGTGGGGTGGAAGGGTGCCCGCCGCGCTGAGCCCACCTGTCTCGCTCTGCGCCCGCAGGGCAGGGTCTGTGGCCTGTGCGGGAACTTCGACGACAACGCCGTCAACGACTTCACCACGCGGAGCCAGTCCGTGGCGGGGAACGCCCTGGAGTTCGGGAACAGCTGGAAGTTCTCCCCGAGCTGCCCGGACGCGCTGGCGCCCAAGGACCCCTGCGCCGCCAACCCGCACCGCAAGTCCTGGGCGCAGAAGCAGTGCAGCATCATCAACGGCCCCACCTTCGCCGCCTGCCACGCCCACGTACGCCACCGCGCGGGGCGGGGCTTCTCCGGGCCGAGGGGGTGCTCAGCAGGGGGAAGGGGGCGTGGGCAGTCGGGCCTCCCAGGCTGGCGTGGCCGCGCCGGGTGGGGCCCCGGGTTGGAGTGGGGGCCGCGGGGAGCGTCACCTCTCACGACCGCCCAGGCCACGCGTCTGCTGCCCCCGGGCTCCGGCATGGCCCCAACCCCAGGAGCCACGGGGAGTGGGGTCCCCGGAGGCTGACGCCCCGTCTCCCCCAGGTGGAGCCGGCCAAGTACTACGAGGCCTGCGTGAGCGACGCGTGCGCCTGCGACTCGGGGGGCGACTGCGAGTGCTTCTGCACGGCCGTGGCCGCCTACGCCCAGGCCTGCCGGGACGCCGGGCTCTGCGTGTCATGGAGGACCCCGGACGTCTGCCGTGAGTGGGGCTCTGTCCGTGGTGCTGAAGGGGGCTGCGGGGCGGGGGCAGGAAAGGCCGAGGTGCCCAGGGAGAAAATGCAGAGGAGAGGTGGTAGAACATTCTGGAAGGAGGTCACAGAGTCAGGGGAGCAGGGCTCGGCCGGAGAGAGCTGCTCTGGCTGGAGACCCCGGAGAGGCCGGGGGCGCGGGGGGATGCGCCCGCCTGGGCCCGCTGAGCCGCCTCCCTCCGCAGCGCTCTTCTGCGACTACTACAACCCCGAGGGCCTGTGCGAGTGGCACTACCAGCCCTGCGGCGCCCCCTGCATGCGCACCTGCCGGAACCCCCGCGGAGACTGCGCGCACGACGTCCGCGGCCTCGAAGGTGGGCTGCTCGGCCTGGGAGGGCCGGCCTGGGTCCTTGCCATGGGGCTGCCGGTCTGTCCCGGCGGGACTCGGACACTCGGGTCTCTCTGGCTGCAGGCTGCTACCCCAAGTGCCCTGCGGAGGCGCCCCTCTTTGACGAGGACGAGATGCGGTGTGTGGCCAGGTGCCCGGCCCCGCCCCAGCCACCACCCTGCCACGTCCACGGGGAGTCGTACCAGCCCGGAGAGCCGGTGCCCTCGGACAAGAACTGCTACTCCTGGTGCGCGGCCCGGCTGGAGGGATGTGGGGGGATTCAGGCCCCCAGCCTGGGTATTGGGGGGTGTCCACAGCCTGGGTATTGGGGGGTGTCCACAGCCTGGGTATTGGGGGGCATTGGAGATGTCCACAGCCTGGATTTTAGGGGGTGCTGGGGGGTGTCCACAGCATGGACATTTGGGGGTTCTGGGGGTGCCCACAGCCTGGGCATTTGGGGGTTCTGGGGGTGTCCACAGCCTGGGTATTTGGGGGTGCTGGGGCTGTCCATAGCCTGGGTATTTGGGAGTCCTGGGGCTGTCCACAGCCTGGGTATTTGGGGGTGATGGGGATGTCCAGAGCCAGGGTTTTAGGGGGTGTTGGGGGTGTCCACAGCCTGGTTTTCAGGGTCAAGGGGCTACACGACCAGGGACCCCCTATTACTGGGGTCAACGCTGTGGGCAGATGTCTGTGACCTGAGTTTTGCAGGGGCCGGGACCCCCCATCCTGAGGCCCAGGGCGTCTGAGCAGAGGGCAGTGACTGGTGGGGGGGCTGTAGGGCACCTGTAGGGCCAGGTGACAGGTGGGGTGGTGGGAAGCTGAGCCCAGACAGGCCCCAGAGACTGCATGGGGCGTACGCCCAGCCGTCAGGTGGGGTCACTCCGCCTGGTGGGTCACTGCTCAGAGGAAGTGGGAGGGGGCGAGTGGGGCCGGTGTCCACCAGCCTGGCGTGGGGTGCGGCCGGGACCCCTGTGGACCCCTGTGGGAGCGGGTCCCGCCCTGTGGGGTGGACTGCCCAGGGGCAGCCCGGCCCCACACCCAGCTGCCTCCCTCTTCCCCCCCTCCTCCCCCAGCGTGTGCGGCACGGGTGGTGTGGGGTGCTCCTACAACGCCAGCGGTGAGTGCGGCTGCAGCCTCCTGGGGGGCGGGGGCTGGGGGGTCTCCGCCCGAGGCCCAGCTCTGACCCGCCGGCCGCTCTGCCCCACAGCCTGCGTCTGCACCTACGGCGGGCAGCGCTTCCGCCCCGGCGACGTCATCTACCACACAGCGGACGGCACCGGCGGCTGCATCTCCGCCCGCTGCGGCGCCAACGGCACCATCGAGAGGAGGGTCTACAGCTGCGGCTCCAGCAGCCCCCCGCCCCCCACCACCTTCGCCTTCTCCACGCCGCCCCGAGGTGAGAGCGCCGCGCCGCCCTGGGGGCTGCCCCTCCACCCGCGGACGGGCACGGCTTCTCGCTGGGCACTGGGTTTGTGCCCGGCTCTGGGCAGCCCCTGAAGGTCGGGAAGGGCCGGGCAGTGGGGCGCTGGGCACAGGGACGGCCACCAGCCCCCCAGAGTGGGAAGGCAGCAGCAGGAGCTCAGCCCTAGGCGGCCCTTGGAGGGCGGCAGGAAGCTCTCACCGTCCACCGCCCCCACGTCCTCACCCACGTCTGGGGGCCACGTCTGGGGTGTCTGGGGGACAGTTTTGGGGGCCACGTCTGGGGGACAGTCCTGGGGGCACGTCTGGGGGACAGTCTTGGGGGCCACGTCTGGGGGACAGTCCTGGGGGCCGTGTCTGGGGGACAGTCTTGGGGGCCACGTCTGGGGGCCAGTCTTGGGGGCCATGTCTGGGGGACAGTCTTGGGTCCCTGAGCTCCTCTGAGAAGGACGCACCAGCTCTCGTGGGCACAGACGTGCGGGCTCTGCTCAGGGCATGGTCTGGGGACTTGGCTTCCCTTAAACAAGTCGACTTACCTGTTTGCCAAACCTGCCCGGGGCCAGGCAGGTGCAGGGCAGCTGTCCTGGTGGAGACGGGCGGGAGGCTGCCCGGGGCCACTGACAGGGGTGGCAGGGTGGGACGGGGCAGGGCCAGGTGCAGCCGCCGAGCACGGGCCCCTGACGTCCAGCCCGGCACCATCTCTTCTGCCCACAGCCGTGAGCTCAACGCCGACCCTGGGCACCAGCCCCAGCCCCGCCCCAAGCACGGCGCACACCGGCCCCCTGAGCAGTGTGCAGTCCACGGCTGCGAGCACCGCACCCAGGACGGCGCCTTCCTCCGCCTCGGCGTCCCTGAGTGTGTCCAGCACGGTGGCGACCCAGGCCTCCGGCTCCCCTTTCCCTGGCAGCACAACCGGCCCGGCCACGCCCTCCACTGCTGCCACGACACCGGCCACAGTCAGCGCCACGCCTGCCCCACGCACCAGCACGCCCGGGACAACAGGCGTCCTGAGCCCCAGCCTGACGCCAGGGCCCGCGGCCTCCGCAACGCCCTGGGTGTCACCCGTGGCCCCCGGGACCACGGGTGGGCCGCCCTCCCCCCAGCCCAGCCAGGGCTGCCTTCGGGAGGTCTGCAGCTGGACCCGGTGGATCGATAGCAGCTACCCTGGGCCCGGAAGGAACAGCGGAGACTTTGACACTTTCCAAAATCTGAGAGAAAAAGGGTACAGATTCTGCGACAGGCCCAGGCGCGTGGAGTGCAGGGCGCAGAGCTTCCCCTCCACGCCCCTGGCGGAGCTCGGCCAGGTCGTGACCTGCAACGCCAAGGAGGGGCTGGTGTGCCGGAACAGGGACCAGCTGCCGCCCATCTGCTACAACTACGAGATCCGCATCGAGTGCTGCCGGCTGCAGGACGTGTGCAGCCGGGGGACCACAGCGCCCGGGACCCCGGCCACCGCACAGCCCACGCCGCCCGACACCACCACCACCACGGACACCCAGACCACGGGGACAGCGGCAGCCCCCTCGACCCCCACAGAGCCCACCGTGGTGAGCTCCGCCACGGCGCCCACGCCGGCCAGGCCCAGGCCCAGCACGCACGCCGTCACTGCGCCCCGGACCACGGGCTGCCGGCCCACGTGCACGTGGACCAAGTGGATCGACGTGGACTACCCGGCCCCCGGGCCCCACGGCGGCGACGTGGAAACCTACGACCACATCATCAGCAGAGGCCAGACCCTCTGCCGGCGGCACGGGGACATCGCCAAGCTCGAGTGCCGCGCGGAGAACCACCCTGGCGTGAGCCTCGACAGCCTGGGCCAGGTGGTGCGGTGCAGCCGCGACGTGGGCCTGGTGTGCAGGAACCGTGACCAGGAGGGAGCCCGCAAGCTGTGCCTCAACTACCAGGTGCGCGTGCTGTGCTGCCGCACCCCCGACGGCTGCTCCCCGCCCACCGCCCCGGTCACGGTCCTCAGCACCCCGAGTGAGAGCGCCACCAGCCCGACTCAGGGCACCTCGTCTGGGCAGAAAACCAGCACCACCTCTGTGGAGACAGCCAGCACAGCCTCCTCGCCACAAACCAGCACCACCTCTGGTCCTGCAGTGAGTACAGCCTCTCGGCATAAATTGAAAACGACCCTGGGTCCTATAACCAGCACAACCTCAGGTCCTTCATCTGGCACAACCTCTGGTCCTACAACCAGCGCCACCTCTGGTCCTGTAACTACTCACAGCCCTATTACGATTACTAAGACAACCTCTGCTCCTTCATCCAAAACAACACATGGTCTGATAGCCAGCACCACCTCTCAGCATAAATTGAAAACGACCTTGGGTCCTGTAACCAGCACAACCTCAGGTCCTTCATCTGGCACAACCTCTGGTCCTACAGCCAGCACAACCTCTGGTCCTGTAACTACTCACAGCCCTATTCCGATTACTAGGACAACCTCTGCTCCTTCATCCAAAACAACACATGGTCCGATAGCCAGCACCACCTCTCAGCATAAATTGAAAACGACCTTGGGTCCTGTAACCAGCACAACCTCTGCTCCCATACCCAGTGCCACCTCTGGTCCTACAAACAGCACAACCTCATGTCGTACAACCAGGGCAACCTCTGGTCCTACAACCAGCACAACTTCACGTCATACAACCAGGGCAACCTCTGGTCCTACAACCAGCACAACTTCACGTCATACAACCAGGGCAACCTCTGGTCCTACAACCAGCACAACTTCACATCATACAACCAGGGCAACCTCTGGTCTGACAGCCAGCACAACCTCAGGTCCTATGACCAGGGCAACCTCTGGTCCTACAGCAAGCACAACCTCGGGTCATGCAACCAGGGCAACCTCTGGTCCTATAACTACTCATAGCCCTATTCCGATTACTAG